AGATCAGAGCCAAATCAGGGCCAGATCAGATCATCAGAGCCAGATTAAAGCCAGATCAGAGCCAAATCAGGGCCAGATCAGATCATCAGAGCCAGATCAGGGCCAGATCAAAGCATCAGAGCCAAATCAGGGCCAGATCAGAGCCAGATTAGGGCCAGATCAGAGCATCAGAATCAGATCAGAGTATCAAAATCAGATCAGAGCATCAGAATCAGATCAGAGCATCAGAATCAGATCAGAGCATCAGAATCAGATTAGGGCTAGATCAGAGCCAGATTAGGGCCAGATCAGAGCATCAGAATCAGATCAGAGCATCAGAGCCAGACCAGAGCATCGAGCCAGATTAGGGACAGATCAGAACCAGATTAGGGCCAGATCAGAGCATCAGAATCAGATCAGAGTATCAGAATCAGATCAGAGCATCAGAATCAGATCAGAGCATCAGAATCAGATTAGGGCATCAGAATCAGATCAGAGCATCGAGCCAGATTAGGGACAGATCAGAACCAGATTAGGGCCAGATAAGAGCATCAGAGCTAGATCAGAGCATCAGAGCCAGATCAGAGCATCAGAATCAGATCAGAACCAGATTAGGGCCAGATAAGAGCATCAGAGCCAGATCAGAGCATCAGAGCCAGATCAGAGCATCAGAATTAGATTAGGGCCAGATCAGAGCCAGATTAGGGCCAGATCAGAGCATCAGAATCAGATCAGAGCATCAGAGCCAAATCAGGGCCAGATCAGATCATCAGAGCCAGATCAAAGCATCAGAGCCAGATCAGGGCCAGATCAGAGCATCAGAGCCAGATTAAAGCCAGATCAGAGCCAAATCAGGGCCAGATGTTAAATTCTTTATTATTACAAGGACGATGCATATTAACATGACAAGTCAAAAAATGCCAGAGTTAGCCAAAAGGCTAGTTTTCATCTGCAGTCCTAGGCCAGATGTACAATAGGCAACCTAAAAATACAATGATCAGATCATCAGAGCCAGATCAGGGCCAGATCAGAGCATCAGAGCCAAATTAAAGCCAGATCAGAGCCAAAGCAGGGCCAGATCAGATCATCAGAGCCAGATCAGAGCATCAGAATCAGATCAGAGCATCAGAATCAGATTAGGGCATCAGAGCCAGTTAAACATAAACATAGCCATTATGGTAAGACTGTGTCTTAAGAACTAGTATGAACAACTAGCATTTAGTTAAGAGCAATCAGTCTTACTTTTGGGTATCAAATTCAACCAATGTACATTTCAATGTAACTGACTTAAAAAAGTTAAAGAAAAATAATGATGACTAGTCTCAGCAGTTGGGGTTTTGTGGTTAGCATTGTGGTGAAGAAGAGGTTGTGTGTGGACACATGAATGAAGTCAATAGTGTGTGTTGCTTCACTCATTGAGAAATAGCTGTGCTAAGTAACTTCTGCAAAGTGAATAATGATACAATAGTCTTCTGTACAGCTTTTCATAGCCGAATGAACTCATTTCATAATTGATTTCCAGATCTTGACCGGAGCACTTTACAGACTTCCAGCTGAACTATGGCACTATTGTCTTTTTTACAGCAGAATTGAAATGATTCTGTTATTTCCTGTTTATCACCGTAAAGCTGCTTTGAAACAATCTGTATTGTATAAAGCGACATATTTATGTCTTGACATGTGTGAGAAAAATCTACGATAATTTTTTAGTGTAGTTGATGTGGAAAAATAGCGCTATTATTCAGTCATGGTGTCAGATGAGCATCAGTAAAGAAACCCACTGTCTCAGACACACTACTGTTATCTATTGCTCTGATCAAGTAGTAAAGATAAACCGATTGATTTATATATTACGATTCTTCCGTAGGTGGTTTTACCATTTTTTTATAAAATGGATAGAGTATCATTTCAATTTAAACTTTCTAGATCTCAAATCAATATTTTGTTCACTCTGTTGAACAGCAGGTCCACCGTGACAAGAGAGATGCAGACAGACAGAAATACATATAAACACATCCGGTGCGTTCAAGATGTCAAACGCCTCCTCTTGAATAGTAAACAAAGGCAATTAACGTGACCACATTCTTGGTTGCTGATGAAGTGAATGCATGCATTTGAAGATATTGCTGCCTGTTATGTTTGTTATGATTAACAAATTATCTATATCAGTTATTACACTCTGCCAAAATCACATTTATATCACATTTTGGTTGATTCATAATCACATATTCTATTATACAACCTAACGGTGTGATTGTTCCAAGTCAATAGAAGGTAAAAGCCCGCTGAAGTGCCTTGAAACGTGCAGCATATTCAGTGTTGACGTAATTTCCTCTGAAACAGGAAGATGGGGCGGGACATATTGAACAGCTCCTCCCCTTTTTTTAAATAGCCAATAGCGTTTAGTTTATATCCAGAGTTTCCGCTAGAAAAAAATGGTGCCGGTCAAAGTGACCGGCAGAGGTTTCGTTTAACGGACATGTTGATGATATGCCGGTCAAATATCGCCTCTTAATTAGTCAAGTTGAGGAAAACTGGAGGCAGGCTATGTAACTTAAAAAATGACATAATCAGGCCGTATAGAATGCAACATGTTTATTAGCCTAACTTTCAAATAGACGGAAAAAACATGAACGTCCGATTGGCGTCAATCAACACCAATTGTTTTTTACTATGGTTTCACACACATTCACTGTTTGAAACATTGAGGCACGGATGTACCTAATACAAATAAATAACTAGTTAACTAGTTAACATCTCCAGTTAACTAGCAGATCATTCATTTAGTTCGCTATTAAATAAGAGATCTAGCGTTAAAATCAGTTGTTTTTTAAATCAAGCTGAGCGCTCGTGTCCGCTGCTATCAGTTGCATGGACGACGCGCTGCGCGAGTTGCGCAATTTATTAATTTTATAATTTATCAATAATATCAATGGACCTGGCCATATCTGAAACGTCTCACTCAATCGTTCGTTGTTTAGGTCTATATTACAGCCGTTATAGGCGTGCGCTTTATTTGTAATGCAGCATGCGATGTTGTTGGGGGGCGGGATTATTACGCAATTTTAATCTGACAATTTGACCGGAGAGATTTAATTTTGTCGGACTTTTCATTTTTTTCCCGGCCAATGTCCGGTAATAACCGGACAACGGAAACCCTGTTTATATCACAGTTCTCGTTAAACCCACAGTTTCCTCTTAATCTCTAACCATTTCTATTCCTAATCTCCACCATAACGCTTTAAAATTCAATATACAGAATTCAAACAGGTCTGCTATGTTTTCTGGTCTGCGTCGATCATATGATTCGCTCTGTGCTGTCTGTCGTGTCTCTGGACTCACTAAAGCCTAGTTCACACTACATGATTTTAAAACGTCGGGCTGAAATGTGCGGTTCACACTACATGACTTGCTCTCTCTGTGAAATCAGGAGTGTTCAAGTTGTTGAGCTGTTCACACCACACGACACAACGTGATTGATCCGCAACAGGAGGTAACGCACTACACGAGTTGACAACAACTCTGTCACCCAAGATTCTATCTTGTCTACAAATCACGTTTTGTCACAAAAAATCACGCGATAAAACGAGCCGGAAATGACGCGAAACAGCACGCGCGCTAATACCCAGCGAAGAAGACGAAGACCCATGCCTTGCTCTGATTGGCTGTAGCTCATGACATCACTGAGGTAGAGTCGGGCGACAGCTCTGGATATCTAGCATGCTAGATATTTTTCTGGGCTCGGCGACGCGTCTGCGAGGCGTCAGCGAGCGTCTTTGATGTGTTCATACTGGCTCTTTCATACTAACAGATTGGCGAGCGTTCATCGCCCGCTAATCCCCCGCGATTTGCACGCGATAACACCCTGACCTGTCAGCGAGCTCAACGATTTGCAAATCGGGCTTAAATCCTGTAGTGTGAACTAGGCTTAACATGAAACCAGTCTCCCAACCATTCGGCCCGATGGAAAGCATATTTACACTGTCTGAATCGTTCCCTATCCACTATATAGTGCCAATCACTATAGAAAATAGTAAATGTGTGAACAAGTGACCGATTTCAGCCACAGCTTCAGTGACTATTTGGGGGCGGGGCTTCAGATTCAAGCGAGATTTTGATTGGACAGAAAATCTGATGAGAAGCTGAAGTGCAGAGTGATGTCATCAAAATCACTGATCCATATTGGCGGAAGTGAGAGACTGTACGCTTTGAACGCTTATTTCTTCTAAATGCGAATGTTGTCATTGTTTTGGCGCACACTATCTTATAGATAACCTCGAGGCTAACATATTCATACTAAAAGCCAAAAAACTAACATTTTGATTTCATGGGGACTTTATGCTGCAGGAAGTCGTTTCCCATGTTGCTGGCAGTTTGTGCAGTTGGAGGAGAACATGAGCCACTGCAGGGCCTTCCTAAAAACCCGAGGCCACCTCGCTGTCACTCGAGTATTTTCACATACGTCACAATAACACCATTTATAACTGGCATAATCACCGGTTATTGGTTCTGGGTGGAACTTGCTGAATCCGCTATGAGTCCAGTAACTAGTCATGTGACTTCTGCACAACTGAACAACACATGAATGAACACATGAACTCCCGCGAAACTAAATTCATAAAAACACGCTAGCTCCACCTTTTAGAAAAGTGTGGACTTCTGCACAAATCAAGGTGAATTCAGAACTGCACAAATGAACATGCACATCTGGATTCCTGGGCATATAAACTCCAGCACAAACGAAAAACTGCACTTAAAAAAATATGAACGCATGAACTACTGCGCATTCGGATATATACACACGTGAAACACACACACGTTGGTTTGGGGGGTGGACCGTTGAAGTGCGTCCATGAAAACAAAAACAATCACACAGGGTAGAGATTACAGCGTAATTCCCCCGATACACAAGAGCATCCCGCGCGCACGCACACACACACACACACACACACACACACACACAGTGACAGCAGAAGCGCGTGCAGTGAGTGAAACGCGTCGATCAATCGCGTGTCTCTTACCCGTCTTTACGCTTCGCTTTATAAACATGCCCGTATGTGCCGCGACCCACTTTACAACCTTCATATTCAAACAGATCTTCCACTCTCTCCCTCTCGGCGGCGAGCTTCGTTTTGAAGTCGTAGTCCATTTTAACCCATAAATATTTCTTAATTTACAATAAAATAAAATATTAATTATTACATGCATTAATTAAATGATCCGATCGTTTTATTACCCCACCATTTCCTTGTTTGGGATTTTGGTCGGCTCCGCTTAATAGTCACGTGCTCGGTGACGCAATTTATTGTGGCGGGTGGCCTTCTGGGAAATGTAGTGTTCTCAGATCAACCCTGCGCTTTGAGTTAATGACGAAATGACTTGTGTAAAACTACAACGCGCAAATCGCCTTTCAAAAATGCATTTTCTGGTTGTTGGTATGTACAAACCATGGTACAAACATTAGCTGTAATTGCAGCATGAGTACAATATAACTCTTGTCCTCAAAATGTGACGCATGATGAATAAACTGTGTAAAAAAAAAACACGAGCAAACCTCCCTTTTTCCTTCAGTAAACTAGTGAATAAACGGACACCAATTACTTGTTTATGTCTGTGCACTGGCGCAGCGTTATAGCAACACAAACGTTAACTCATCTACACAAGGGCATGTGCGGATGTGCCGCGTGAATTCATACCTTTACGCAACATCTCATTTGATTGACAACAGTCACAGCCAATCGCTGCCGAGACGAGCGCCGCCTCTTTGCCGTGATTGGTCGCAACGACGATGACGTTGGCTAGTAGGTAATAAAAGTCCGCGCAGTCTGCCATTCTGCGCTTACACAGTATGGCCGGCGATATTAGCTAGCACTCGCTCACGGTATTCTCTGCAAAAGGGAAGACGGTAAAAAAAACAAGGCAACTACATCTGGACTGCTCAAGGACTGTAACTAAGCTAATAAATTATAACTACCAAAAAAGGACTAATTAAATTGGGATTCCATCCGACGCTTAAATTTCTGTTGTTGGAGTCTGCTTGTCTCACGATGGAAGAGGACAGCGGTGCACACTTCTTCGAGGGGACCGAGAAGCTCCTGGAGGTCTGGTTCTCCCGGCAGGACGAGGCCAAAGGGACTGGGGATCTGCGCACTATCCCCAGGTGGGTGAATCCGTATCAGGCTGGATTCAACGTTAACCGAGCCAGATTTACTGATCTGATTCACGACACCCTGCCTATTAAGCCCTGCCTAAAACATGACAATGGTGTTAGTAATGTTACTATAATCGCTAAGTTAGTAGTTCTGCGGGAACGAGAGTGGGTGAGTGACATGTGGCTCTGACACCCGTGGCGTGATCAGCAGTTTTGGCCATTTTTGACACACCATCCCCCTTTTCACCCATTCATTTGTGCTGTCATGACTGGAGCTGAACCTCGAGCCCCGATTAGCTTTTTCTGCAGCGCGTACTTAAATTATTCCAACGTCAACAACATGTTTACCAACATCTTGATGCATCTTCCAACATTAGGCTGTATCTGTTGATATCTCTTATCACCGCTCTGCGGGTTTCAGCTGTCGTGTGAGTCGTCACTCGGCTAGATTGATGCTTTGCTGTGTTAGGATCAGCTCTGCTTCTGTCTAAACCCGTTATCGACGCGCTTTAGCGTGAGTGAATGTTGATCAATTGATTAGCCAGTGGCTAGTGGCTACCGCTAGCTGATATATATATATGGCGCCATGGCAAACACCATCATATCTGCTGTATCTGTGCACCTAAATGAATGGATTTATTCTGTTGACCACCAGATATAACGTTTATAGGATTTAATGTTCATTTCCTCAGGTGCTTTTAACAGGAACTCCTCTCTGAACATTTTTAATCGCAGAGAAGTGAACACATGCGTATGTCAATGACTGCATGTAAGGGCTCTATTTTTGGGAACTATCATGGCGGTTGTCGATCCTGCGCCGCAGAGCCTGCATGTGAAAGTCACGTGGCTGCGTCACACGCGGTAAGCTCCGCCCCGCGCTGTGATTGGCCGAGAGTTCCGCTCGCTCATTGGTTGGTTTCTAGTGCGCATTAGAGCTCGACAGCTGCAGATCAATGAGTGTGAACTGCTGAATTAATGCAGACACAACAACATCGTCGCTTTAAACACAACACAGCGTCAAGGAAACGTGCAGGAATGGTTGAACATTTGTCTTGATGTCTACAAGGCTAGATTACAGTGTTGAGAGATGCATAAAATAAAAAAACACTTTATGTAATAGATTTATTTTACGTTCACTAAAATATGTGTGCATTACAGTTGGCTAGACATAGATAGTAAATGGATAAATAAATATATTGTTTGTTAATGAACATGATTATTGGCCAATACTGAAAATATCGGTAGATTTATCGGTGTATTACTACAAAACCATCCGGTAGTGATAGTTACCATGAGTTATATTTACAGCAAAAACCTACAATGATGCTACCAAAAAAGGGTCGTAAAATAACAATGCAAGAAGTTTCCAAAAACATAGTATATTTTTCATAGCGTACTTTATATTTATACCATTCTTGTACTTTTTTTGTACGATTCAATACGCTGTAATGTATTAATAACCCTAAATAAAAGACTTTTCAGCTCATTTAGACAATAAGTGTGTAAAATATGAATGAGGACGTAGTTCGCCGGATGTGTGTGTAGTATCCTGGCATAAAGCTGTCCCTTTGGTTTCTCTGAAGTGCTGAAAGCTGATCTCTGCGGTCTCTCTGGCTACGGCTGTCTGAATGACCGATGAGGGTATTAGTTTACTTCCGGGAAAGCGTTCGTTAGCCCTCTCGGAGACACTAGAAGAGGATCATAGCCGAGGACGTGGAGCCGCCCCTCCTCTTCCCACAGCATGAGGAAGCACTTTCTCCAGGGACTGGCGCTGTGTCATAAAAACACACGGTCAAATAATATTTTCACAGTTTTTGTTTTTGACAGTTGCAGCTTGATTGAAAATGATCATTTTATCTTGGTTTTCTTCTCACATCACGGCTCATATTTCATATCAACAAGTACACGTAATATGTTAAACATTAGTAACATTCAATTTAAAATTGAAGAGATGCATGATACATCGACCATCATTTCGGTATCAGCCTGATAAAGAAACGTGGCCGATATATTAAAGCCAATAAATAAATTATTTATTTCAGCTGAGACACTTTAGATGCGCACTGTTCGCCATGATAGTTTTTAATTGCTTGAAATATGATTGGAAGAGGGGAAAATACAGTAAAGTGCAACAAGTCTGTCATATAAGCTTCATAAATGAGAACTTTCTATCAAAATTCTATAATGAGAACGTTATAATCGTGTGCTTGGGTCGTGGCTTTTAATGGTGAGCCTTGCTTTTGTAATCAGGCTCTCAAAAATTATATAAAAATTTGGATTTAGATTTATCGGCCAATATTTTGGCTTTCAAAATGATTAAAAAAAATTACATTCAAACTAGAGGTTCTGACAAAAATTTTCATTGCTTTAGTTTAGTCCATTTAAAAATATACTATTAATTTGAACGAATTAATAAAAAAATGTTTTTGGATGGATTTCTCATTCATAAAGACATGTTTAGTATTTGATCAATTATAGATTCAATGACAAACACTCACTTGTCGCCAACTCCTGTAGCGATAAGCAATTCAATACGTGTCAAAATACTTTCAAAAGATGATTTACTCTTTTGATCACTACTGGTGTTTAAAACCAAACTATAAACCTTTATCCCAGTACACTTTTATCCCGTTATTTAAATGTTTGTAACACATTAAATCACGATAATGTGTGGCTGAAAGCATTTCCATGCGCTCCAGATCAGCGGCAGCGCACACACCGATATGAATGTTTGTTTGAAATGGTGGTTTTTATAATTTCATTTTTATGAAATGTCCCACCTCCCCCCCCAAATAAAGACATTTAAAAAAAAAAGTTAATTTCATATTATTAAAAGATAAATGAATGTTTTATGTCAAACAACATGTTGCACAACTGAGCTACTGTTAAACATCGAAGAAAAACGATTATTCCTTAAAGTTTTGATAATTTATTATTAGTGTTAGTATTATTACATTGAGGTGTATCTAAATTCTACTGTACAACAGTAATATATTTCTATCTAGTTAAACTGGACTTATTTTGACGGGTCGCCATGAAGACCTCTTATTTTCCGTGCGTTTATGATATGATATAGTTTTTTTTCTCAAATGAAATGGTAAAATGATCATGAAGTGACTCTGGAGCTGAAGTTCATGTTCTCAGCGTTTATCAGCTCGGGTCAATAATAGACTCGAACAGGTTTACTCGTGGGCCGATCTTTGATCATGTGACACACCGTTCCAACAGCGCTGGAGATCCAGTGTAAATACGTTTGAATTCGCTGCAGAATGAGCAACATCACTGCCAGGTCCGGTGAGAAGCATTCAGATTCAGTGCGGAGATATCAGATCACACAGGAGAAACACTGAAAGAAAAGTTATAGAAGGCTTTTCAATCCATAAATCACCAACGTTCACCATAGATTGAATGTAGCAATGCTAACTGTAACCATGGTATTGTGGATGAAAGACTTGAATGTTTTTACATCATTTCAGGGTTCGACAGTAGGGGTGTAACGGTACATGTATTCATATTGAACCGTTTCGGTTCGAGGCTTCCGGTTCGGTACGCATACAAACCGAACGATTCCTTGGACCATTTTTCCTGCAGACAAAATCAGCGCTGGCGCGACCACCACAACGTTGCGCAACATCAAATGGCAAGCGTAATGAAAGCGGAACGAAACTGCGCTACTCATTATATTGTGCTTCACGGATCGTTTATCAGTTCGGACCAGCAACATCTGTGCAGCGCGAGCCGATCTCGATCAAGCGACACTGTTACAACCGTTACAACACAGCGCTAAGAGATCCAGTGAAAAAAACATTTGAATTCGCCACTGAAGTAATAACATCGCTGCGAGATCTAGTGAGAAGCATTCACATTTCTCCGTTATTAACCGTAGATCTCTATTAGATCAAACAGCGCTGACGTGGACACCAGGAGAAACATTGTGCCGTGAATGATCTAGTAATACTTTACGTCCACAGACCAGCAACATTCACCATGGATTTAATATAGTAACACTAACTGTAACCAGTTTGGCTGGAATAGTGAAATGCTTTCAAGTACTTCACACATCTTTTTCCAGCACTTCAAAACTCAAATATTATATAAATAAATATATGAAGAGTTCAGATGCAAAAGCCTCTAAGTGCCATTTGAAATGTTCTTCTAGAATGATCATTTTTATGAAGCTTGTATATTTAAGTTCAGTAATTTCACTCAAATGACAATTAATAGGTAATCTTCATTGCCATTTAAGTGAAATTACTGAATTTAAATATACAAGCTTGATAAAAATAAAGAAAATTTAAAATGGCTTTTGTATCTGAACTCTTCATATATTTAAATGTTATTTTTAATGTGATGACCAAAACGTTATTTGTTCATCCTTCAAAGATGACACCCATTTATAAACCTGAAAGTTTCAAGATGTAGGAAAACTCACACTTATTTAAAAAATATTTTTTCTTTTAACAAATAGGAAATTCTCTGGCATTTCTTACTTTTTGCTGTATCGAAAACGTACCGAACCGTGACTTTTGTGTACCGTTACACCCCTATTCGACAGTCAAGTGCTTCAGTTCACACGTTCTCCAGCACTTTAAAGCTTTAAATGTGAATTATTGCATTGCGGATCGATTAAAGGTGTGCCCCTAAATGTTCTGTAAGGGGCCAAAAGTTAGTTTGCAGCCCTGTGATCGCCACTTTCTGTGTCGAATGCTTGTATGACACCAAACTGTAATGGTTTTATAGGTGGAATCATGTAAAAATGTCACAAATAAACCCTAGTTATATGCATGATCTTTTTGATTGCCGTCCCCTTACAACACTGAGCTTGAGCCAAGTGTGTGTAATTTGAGATCTCCACCGCGCGAGTTCAGCGAAAGCCAGAGTGTCTACGCGGAGCGGATGACCTCATCCACACGCCACAACATCCAGCCAATCAGCGTCCAGATGCCCGTCCTGCGGACTCCTTCTTACACGAGCTGCATACCTCATCAGTTTCTGCTTTTTTCTGTTTCTTTTTCTTCAAAATGTCAAAAGGTCTAACTCTGGAGATATTTGCCATTGCTGCAGTGTTTGAAATCTGATATCCTTCAGATATGAAAAGTAGCTTACCTACTCAGATTCATGTAGGAAATAATAGGTTATTGTTCCCTAATGATAAGTGAGGTCTTAATCTTGCTCTTTCTGTGTGCTTTTTCAGATTTGAGTGGGACAAACTTCTGGAGAATGTGCATTGCTTGATTATAAGTGTGACAAAGACTGACAAGCAGGAAGCTTATATACTCAGGTGAGCTTTTGACATTGTTGTCTGTGTTGTCTGAGGTCAGAGGACAGGATTGTAATGATGACGCACTAATCCTTCAGCCCGCTTCAAAACTGCTGTCCTCCTTTCATTGGCCAACACCTTCGAATCGACGTGAAATCAAGATTTCTCACACTGAGAATAGGCTATTTGTGGTGGCGTTACTGCTCAAACTGATATAACGATAAAATGACCTTTTCTTATGTGAATATTGTTCAGTTGAATATGTTTCAAAGGCTTTATTTAAGTCCAGGTGTTTACTTTAATGAAAGCTTTCACTGGCCCGTTGCTGGATAGACGCATTAAGCGTGTTTATGTCTGTGGCCGCGATACATGTGCTGACAGCGCTCGCACACGGCCTCGGTCAGCGCTGATAAGCACACAGTAGTGGTTCGGCTCCCAGATAACGCCAGTATGAATGGCATCTGTGTGACATTCACCAGGTCACGGGGTGCAGGACTCAGACGCGCTGTTGTAAATGCGTCCTGCTAAGCAGAAGCTAAGCCATTTATTAGGTCTGAGACACAGAAGGGTCAAAGGGAGAACTCGGCTAGAACAAAGCTATTCATAGTTACTGTAGATATTGTCATTGATGTATTTTTGCTGAAATAAATAAATAAAAAGAATATTTAATCATTAGCATAATTGTAGATTGCATCAGTTTAGTATAACCAATAAGAATGGTTTCCATTAGCCTGGGTTTCCCCATACCGCGATGTTATTCGCGCTGCTAGGCAGTCTGGATACCATGATCCAGATTTTCGCCTCAGTGAGGGGACCAATCACAGAACGGGGAGAGCAGCAAGACGATGACGACGTCTATGCGACACACCGAAGTAGTTTGTTTATACCTATGGATCCAGCAGACGCGAAGTTACCTTTCCACGCAGCCTTAGATATTGTAGTTTAGAACGCAAATAAATCTCGGACCCATCATCTTCTCCCTCGTCTAATGTCTGTCGCTCTACATACGTCATACGATTGGCTATGAGCTACGTACAGGCGCATTTGATAGACATTCGTAGCACCCAATAAACGGCGTAAACCATGCCTCAAATACGAGAAAATGAACATGTGGTTCCCAGACCAATGAGACGTGGTCTGACGTTAGCCAGGCTAGGCTTCCATAGACATTTAACCCATTAACTGAAATAAACAATTCAAGACAACTGATTCCCATTAAACTTCCCAACTCTATAGGCATTTTTGTTATGGGTTGTAGTGGGTGTGGAAAAGTGCATTCAAACCATTGATATTCACATTGTTTATCTCGTTATATGATTGTAAACCAGTCGTCCTCGACTCTCTCCTTCTCTGTCAGTGAGAGTAGCATGTTTGTCTCCAAGAGACGTTTCATTTTGAAGACATGCGGAACCACCCTCTTACTGCAGGCACTGGTGCCACTGCTGGAGCTGGCTCGCGAGTACTGCGGCTTTGATGCCATCGAGGTACCACACACACACACACACACACACACACTGTAACAAGAACTTCTCATTTAGATATCAACTGGAAATTGCAATCCAGTTTTATACACTGAAATCTAACAGTTGTTGTAACTATCACTTTTTAGTTAACTTTACTTTAATGTCTTAACTTAATTGAACAAAATCTAGTAATATTTGCATACTATTTCTTTGATGCCAAATTAAGATTTATGGTTTGATTTATGATTTCGTAATAAAAAAGAGGGTTTGATGTGTCTCTATTTAAACCCTTCCCTTCCACCCCAAAAATTATAAATGCAACATAAAACCAAGAAAAAAAAGAATTAAATAATAAAACTTAAAACAAATAAATAAATGGATTAGAATAGAAATGAACAGAATTTATAGAGTTATATTATGGAGTTTTCACTCATTTCCTGCATCTTTCTCCTAGTTGCCTTCGCTCAGTTTCCAAAGGCATTCTGAATGTTGAATTGTCAGCACAACTGACCATCGAGAGAACATCACATTCATGTTTCGGGAATGTATCGCACACGATCTGCAACCACAGTGATGGCAGATAACACACTTAAGAACACGCATCGGGTTTATGAGTTCACGTGAGATTTACAGTCACACTGAAGAGAGTGAGCTTCAAACGAGTCCATTTGCATGTGATGTCATAAAGATGAATCATTGGTAGTATTCAGTATGACCCTAAAGGGAATAGGGCTGGGCAAAAAAAAATAGATTTTTCGATTAATCGTTTTTTAAAATGTGGTCGATTCAAAATCGATTCTCAACGGCCACGAATCGATTTTTTCCATATTCAGGGCTCGCGGTGCTGCGTCTTCTCACTCTGCACAAGGCAAGCGTCAATACACACCAGAGACTATTTATATACACACTCGTGTTTAGGAGTCGGGACATGATTCACTTGCACAATCGGGCCAGCATTGCATCGTAACTAACGTTTATCATTTTCACGTCTTTAAGTTTTACCAGTTTAAACATTCAAGCAATTTTAAACTATCCTGTGCTCGCGCATGTTTTTCTCTGCGTGCACATACAGCCTAAATCCGCCTCACAAACAGCTCGCCAGTAACAAAAGTTCTTTTTCGTGGATTATATCGCTTTAACAGGTAAAAACACGCAAAATGATGTCAAAACTTCTGGTCTTGGTGAGTAAGCTCGTAAAGACAGTCGGTTATGTCTTAAATAAGCATAAAACGCGTGTGACAGACAGTATAATGAAACAGTAATGGATCCGTGCAGTAGTTCTTAAAGTGAACGCAGCTATATGTGTCTGTCATTAATTTTGTTGTCAAAACAACATAATATAGCATTAATTGTAAGGAATCAGAATTAATAGCCTATGTATTTAATTCAGTCAGGACTAAAAGACTATCCAGTGTTATTTTACATTGGATTACTTTATTCAGTTTCTGTAGTATTTCTGACCTACCCAAAAACTTTTCTTTTTATGTCTCTTTATTTGTCTTTTTAGGCCTATTCTATTGTATTTATTTGTGCTACTTTTTTCAATTTATTTCAAAGATTGAAATCAAGCTTCCATGTGTTGCATAAACTCATAACAAAAAAATTACCCCATTGTAAAAACAAACATTTAGGTGAGATCAATGTAATAAAAAATTGTCTAAAAAATGATAACTGATATTTAGACTGACATTTGTATTACATCTATATTCATTATAGTCGAATCGAGAATCGAAATCGAATCGAACTGTGAGCTTGTGAATCGAAATCGAATCGAATTTGAACATCTGAATCGATACCCAGCCCTAAAAGGGAATGTGAAACCCATATAGGAGGAAACATTGTGTCAATGCGTTTGCGTTACCTCGCAAAACTTCTCAAATATTTCAGGGGAACTCATTGGCTGCGTCTGAATCGCATACTTCCCCACTGTATAGTTGGTGAAAAGCCATAATAATAATGTTTAATTTATATAGCGCCTTTCCCAAACTCAAGGACGCTTAACAATAACAGTAAGGAACAAACAGTCAGTTCATACATGATAAATGGAGAGTCCAAGACACGAGCGATAGCAGAATACACACACACTATAACGGGGGAAAGAAAAGCGTAACGCTGTTTACAGGCAGCGTAGAGGCTGGGCAGCGGCAGCAAGGGTCACATGCAGGAGACTAGTGGCACTCAAGGACACATCATGACTCACACAGTTATGGAAAACATGTTATGACCGATAATACTTTGTGAAAACCTGTGACTTGATCATCTCTTTATTTTCCCTTTTCAGAATTTCTTCTATTCTCGTAAAAACTTTATGAAGCCCACCCATCAAGAGTTCCCTCACCGCAACTTCCAGGAGGAAGTCGAGTTTCTCAGCCAGATTTTTCCAAGTACGCTTTCATGAAAATATAGATGAAATGGTGATGAGTGAGTATTATGTGTGATGGAGTAATGTGTGTGTTTTCTGTGTGTGCACAGATGGAGCAGCCTACTGTATGGGGCGTCTGAACTCAGACTGCTGGTGAGCTTTACATCATCTACACTTCATCTCACGACTGCAGATAAACCGTATTGAGAAATAGGGCTGCGCGATATTGAAGAAAAATGCCATAACTCATTAAATAATGCGATACGATCATGCTTAAAGTGATCTATTATAACCTACATGCGCGTTTCACATTCTTTTTGTGGCAAGAAAACCCCCCTATAACGTCTGCAAGTGAACGGCAGTGCTTTACTGTAGCGCGAGAAGTGTTATTTCAACATCGGTGTAAACCACGGTTCCAGGAAGGCCTACATTAGCTTTATTTAACAGCAGAAACTGAATAACCAAATGTAAAAATAAAACACGGCTTGGTTTTCCCTCTAGGAATTAAATATACTGATTCTTCTTAAAGCTGCTAAAGTTATTCAGCCGAGAGCAGCGAGTGAGTTTCTCTTAGTCTTTTGTTCATGACCAGTTATTGCAAGCCGTTGTGATATGGATATCGCGATATATACATTTGCGATACTTCGATAGTTTCGCTGTATTGTGCAGCCCGATCACGAGAGGTTCAATGTCGCACTGGAATGCGTTGGGGTTTTCCTTTCTCTCACTATGAGGCCACGGTTTAGCAGTGGAAAGATCAAATCTGTGACTAGTGGAGTGTTTGGCTGTTCCTCAAACCAAACCACAAAACTGACATCCATTTCGATGTGCCGTTGTCATGGTCATCCGTGTCCTCTGTGTCCTGAAGGTATTTGTTTACGCTGGAGCTGCCGGAATACTGGGAGAACAAGCAGGCGGACCAGACTCTCGAAGTTCTGATGAGTGACCTTGACCCAGCTGTGATGGACCAGTTCTACATGAAAGACGGTGTTTCTGCTAATGATGTCACTCGTGTACGGTTCACTTCTGCTCTGCACTGTCGTGTGTTTTCTTCTATTGGCGAACGACTGGTCCGTTAGTTAGATCAACAAAAAGCACATCATGTTGAATGCCACAGTTTATGGTTGCACAACCCATAGGCCGTGAGACAGAGGGTTGATTGGTACCATTTTGAGGGATTAAACTGCATGGTGAATTGTGTAGGTATATGACCCTGTATTTGAAAAATGTGTGATAGCATTAGATTCAAGGTAGTTTTTGGTTACGGAGGACGATTTTCAAACATATGTCAAGAAAAAGGATAAATGAATTTATCTTTAAATAAATTTTATAAAAATTTTATAAAATTTTATAAAATTTGTATAAATTATAAATTTGTATAATAATTTTTTTTTTTTTTTTATATATATACATTTTTTTAATTCTAAAAGGATACATTTTCCTCTCTTGTAGTCACTGAACACCTTACCTTGAGGTAGGATGATATAAGTGTTGATTTCTAATGAAAGCTACCATGGATCGGGTGCTATCACACATTTTCCAACACTAGAGATGTGTACCTTCATGAAAATCAAAAAGAAATTTAATCCCTCAAAATGGTACCGGTAGCCCAAATTTGGGGTCCCGTCTCATGGCCTACCAGTACTTAATTTTTTTTTTTTTTTTTTTAATATAATTTTTTTTTTTTTTTGCGAGTGTGAATTTAATGTGATAATGCGATATGGCCAAAAAATGATCAATCGATATCAGTAAGTGTCACGATATATGTAAATTTGTGCAGTTTTTTGCTCCTGGGTGACCGTTGTAGAAACCAGAGCGTTAATCGTGGTTTTAAACGACTCTTCATCGTCAGAACATGACACACACTCGCCAAACAGCTGAACATCTCACAAATCTGAGGTAGAATATTCAAAACATCTATAATGATCAAAATATGCACAAGGAAAAAAGATTGAAAAGGGATTCTCTTTATCAAAATAAATATCTTAATAGAAAAAACTATTTCTTAGTGTCTGCATGTGCTAGCGGGTGATATTGTTAAAGTCATGAACCGGTAGTGTCGCCTGACGTGTATCTTCAGCACAGTTTGCAGTGCAGGCCGCAATATTAATATCATGTGCTGTCTCTTAGAAATGCACATTTGAGTAGCTTGAGTTGGGATGCAGATTTATGCCGATTAACAAAAACCGTAACATCTGTAAAAATGAAACCAGCATAGGGTAAAATATTCTCACTGTTTGAGTTGGGACTTTACTTTCATCAAATTCCATTCCAGTATCACTTTAAGACATTTCTACATTAATAATACAATAAAAATTCGCTATGGATATACCACATGTCTGCAGTCCAGGGGCGAGCAGGCCTTCGGGAGCCAGTGAGTGTTACTACAGTACATCCATGCTAAATGATGGTGATGTTGTGGATTGTAAAGCCTTCTGACTGGTTGGTTCATGGCACGATGTTTCTGGTTTGTCAGCGCAGTTTCGTCTGGCTTTGAACTGGTGTAAATCACAGACACATATGAGTTCTTGCTGATTAAGTGCTGTTCAGTGGTAGGGATGCAACGATTACAGATTTTCTAAGTACGATTATTGTCTGAGAAATAATCACGGTTTAACGATTATCACGATTATTATGCATCAATTAATTTCACAACACTACTAATGTATAATATCACATGAACACTCAACACTAGATTTTAATGTGTTATTTATTGCTGCCACAACACAGTACAAAATTATAAAATGGCAAACAATAATCAATCTCTTCCTTTGGAATTAAAGAGAAGTGCTTTGTAAACATCCAGCATTTTTCTTTTAAAAATAACAAATTAAGTCAAAGGCTGCAGGACTCTTTGATTGAAATAGATCACAAAATTATTAAGTTTTTAGTTTGTTCTAAATTTATTTTCAACCTGAGGTAGAAAACTTGATAACATGAAAACAATATCTTGTTGGTATTTGACATAAAAACATAAATAATACTATAAAGGGATAATAAATCCCAATGAAAATAAGAATAAACAAAGTATTTGGCTCTATTGAATTAAATGCAAGCTAAATATTAGGCCTATGTATTTCTTTTAAAATAAAACAAATATAGTCCAAATGTTATCCACCAATATTATTGTACTTATTTTAATACTCTTTTTTTTAATTATTAATCCAAATTTTACATGTGCCTTTAGGAAATCATCTATTATAATCTCATTATTTTGGTTTGTTTGTTTGAAGTTTGAGTACAAATTATAGAAAGAAACTGAGAACATCTCTCATGCAGTGTTATTAATAACTGAAATGCAGTTAATTGGTAGTCCTAGAAGTCTACACGGCCCTGATCTTATGTTAGTGTTTTACACCGGGCATATTACAACTACAAAGCCTGACATTTACTCAACACAGACAGGAGAAAGCAATAGGATATTAAGTTAAATGTTCACTGAAACTCTTGAGAGCACGTCACATTCTGTTTTCCACAGACTTGCGTAACCAAAACATTCCGCTGTTTTTTTGTTGTTGTTTTTTTTTACGTTGCACTGGAAGCTGAAAGTTGCACGCCGCGTTCTCCTTTTTCCAAAGCGCTAGGGCGGTTGCGCTCCGCAGGCGTCTGTCGTTGCTCTGTTGATTCTTGTCACTTGACCCACGGTGCGCTTGCGGCATTACGAAAAGTTGAGATGTTTTTATCTCGATGCAGCGCGGACGCGCTTGGAAAAAACGAGCGCGTCGCTTCCATTATGAGCGCGGACACCGTGCGCCTACATTTGAAATGAACTTTAGCGCGCAAAAGACGCGATCTGTGAACAGGCCCTTAAGGCGTTTTTTCGGTGGAAATAGAGCGTCGCTGCTTAGTCCCTCAGTGGTTGACGAGCACGACACTTTAAGCTGGTGCACCGCTGGTGTAACGTTGTTTTGTGTTAGGTGCAAAAGTTCCGTTCCGTGCCGTCCGCGGTGTAGCATAGTCTTTACGATTAATTAACCGTGACGTTTTAAAGCGCGGTTAATTGTGAAATCCGGTAATCGCTGCATCCCTATTCAGTGGTCATGTGATCGAGGCCGATCTCTCGCTGCGCTGCCGTTTGATAAATGCTCCGTGGTGCGCTTTCATTCCACTTTTGGTGCATTGACATTATATCGAACATTTATCAAACTTTTGTTATACTTGTATCGGGGAAAATGACATTGGTTCTCGTTTTATCGCCCTACTTGAATGTTGTCTTTGGCGTCTCGTATAAATCACACACGTTTGACCCATGCTGTTTTGCTTGAAGGTGAAGACCCAACTATATGCATGTTCTGTAAGATTCCCCGAACTGTTAAACATATTTTATTAGATTGTCCTGGACTTAATACAAGTAGAGTGCTTTTTTTAAAAAGAAGTTGCCTCACTTTAAGGACTTATTAAATAAGATTATGCCTGAAAAGATAATCTGAAAAGATAATCTGTTTTTGTTCTTTTTTGTTTTTATTGAATTTATACGATATTTGTATTTTTGTAATGGGATTTCTGCCATGAAAATAGCCTTGGATGCTGACATGGCACTAAATGTCTGGTGTCTGAGAGTCTGGAGTCTGAGAGTCTGGGTGTCTGAGAGTCTGGGTGTCTGGTGTCTGAGAGTCTGGGTGTCTGAGAGTCTGGGTGTCTGAGAGTCTGGGTGTCTGGTGTCTGAGAGTCTGGTGTCTGAGTCTGAGTCTGGTGTCTGAGAGTCTGGGTGTCTGAGAGTCTGGTGTCTGAGTCTGGTGTCTGAGAGTCTGGGTGTCTGAGAGTCTGGGTGTCTGAGTCTGAGTCTGGTGTCTGAGAGTCTGAGAGTCTGGTGTCTGAGTCTGGTGTCTGAGAGTCTGGGTGTCTGGTGTCTGAGAGTCTGGTGTCTGAGAGTCTGGTGTCTGAGAGTCTGGGTGTCTGGTGTCTGAGAGTCTGGTGTCTGAGAGTCTGGTGTCTGAGAGTCTGGTGTCTGAGAGTCTGGTGTCTGAGAGTCTGGTGTCTGAGAGTCTGGTGTCTGAGAGTCTGGTGTCTGAGAGTCTGGTGTCTGAGAGTCTGGTGTCTGAGAGTCTGGTGTCTGAGAGTCTGGTGTCTGAGAGTCTGGTGTCTGAGAGTCTGGTGTCTGAGAGTCTGGTGTCTGAGAGTCTGGTGTCTGAGAGTCTGGTGTCTGAGAGTCTGGTGTCTGAGAGTCTGGTGTCTGAGAGTCTGGTGTCTGAGAGTCTGGGTGTCTGGTGTCTGAGAGTCTGGTGTCTGAGTCTGGTGTCTGAGAGTCTGGGTGTCTGGTGTCTGAGAGTCTGGTGTCTGAGAGTCTGGGTGTCTGGTGTCTGAGAGTCTGGTGTCTGAGAGTCTGGTGTCTGAGAGTCTGGGTGTCTGAGAGTCTGGGTGTCTGGTGTCTGAGAGTCTGGTGTCTGAGAGTCTGGTGTCTGAGAGTCTGGTGTCTGAGAGTCTGGTGTCTGAGAGTCTGGTGTCTGAGAGTCTGGTGTCTGGGTGTCTGGGTGTCTGAGAGTCTGGGTGTCTGAGAGTCTGGGTGTCTGAGAGTCTGGTGTCTGAGAGTCTGGTGTCTGAGCGTCTGGGTGTCTGAGAGTCTGGGTGTCAGAGTCTGGTGTCTGAGAGTCTGGTGTCTGAGTCTGAGTCTGGTGTCTGAGTCTGGTGTCTGAGAGTCTGGTGTCTGAGAGTCTGGTGTCTGGGAGTCTGGTGTCTGAGCGTCTGGGTGTCTGAGAGTCTGGGTGTCTGAGAGTCTGGTGTCTGAGAGTCTGGTGTCTGAGCGTCTGGTGTCTGAGAGTCTGGGTGTCTGAGAGTCTGGGTGTCTGAGAGTCTGGTGTCTGAGAGTCTGGTGTCTGAGAGTCTGGTGTCTGGGTGTCTGAGAGTCTGGTGTCTGAGAGTCTGGTGTCTGAGAGTCTGGTGTCTGAGAGTCTGGTGTCTGAGAGTCTGGTGTCTGAGAGTCTGGTGTCAGAGTCTGGTGTCTGAGAGTCTGGGTGTCTGAGAGTCTGGGTGTCTGAGAGTCTGGGTGTCTGAGAGTCTGGGTGTCTGAGAGTCTGGTGTCTGAGAGTCTGGTGTCTGAGAGTCTGGTGTCTGAGAGTCTGGTGTCTGAGAGTCTGGTGTCTGAGAGTCTGGTGTCTGAGAGTCTGGTGTCTGAGAGTCTGGTGTCTGAGAGTCTGGTGTCTGAGAGTCTGGTGTCTGAGAGTCTGGTGTCTGAGAGTCTGGTGTCTGAGAGTCTGGTGTCTGAGAGTCTGGTGTCTGAGAGTCTGGTGTCTGAGAGTCTGGGTGTCTGAGAGTCTGGGTGTCTGAGAGTCTGGTGTCTGAGAGTCTGGTGTCTGAGAGTCTGGTGTCTGAGAGTCTGGTGTCTGAGAGTCTGGTGTCTGAGAGTCTGGTGTCTGAGAGTCTGGTGTCTGAGAGTCTGGTGTCTGAGAGTCTGGTGTCTGAGAGTCTGGTGTCTGAGAGTCTGGTGTCTGAGAGTCTGGTGTCTGAGAGTCTGGTGTCTGAGAGTCTGGTGTCTGAGAGTCTGGTGTCTGAGAGTCTGGTGTCTGAGAGTCTGGTGTCTGAGAGTCTGGTGTCTGAGAGTCTGGTGTCTGAGAGTCTGGTGTCTGAGAGTCTGGTGTCTGAGAGTCTGGTGTCTGAGAGTCTGGTGTCTGAGAGTCTGGTGTCTGAGAGTCTGGTGTCTGAGAGTCTGGGTGTCTGAGAGTCTGGGTGTCTGAGAGTCTGGGTGTCTGGTGTCTGAGAGTCTGGTGTCTGAGAGTCTGGTGTCTGAGAGTCTGGTGTCTGAGAGTCTGGTGTCTGAGAGTCTGGTGTCTGGGTGTCTGGGAGTCTGGGTGTCTGAGAGTCTGGTGTCTGGGTGTCTGAGAGTCTGGGTGTCTGAGAGTCTGGGTGTCTGAGAGTCTGGGTGTCTGGTGTCTGAGAGTCTGGTGTCTGAGAGTCTGGGTGTCTGAGAGTCTGGGTGTCTGAGAGTCTGAGTCTGGTGTCTGAATCTGAGTCTGGTGTCTGAGAGTCTGGTTCTGAGTCTGAATCTGGTGTCTGAGAGTCTGGTGTCTGAATCTGAGTCTGGTGTCTGAGAGTCTGGTTCTGAGTCTGAATCTGGTGTCTCCACAGATGAGTGGAATTCGTGACCTGATTCCAGGTTCAGTGATTGATGCCACGATGTTCAACCCCTGTGGATACTCCATGAATGGAATGAAAACGGATGTAAGTAGACTGTGTTTAAGGCTGTGTCTCTTCATGAGAAACGTCATCTAAAATGGCTCTGTTTTGCTTAAGCTCGCTTCTCTTTCTAGGGAACTTACTGGACGATTCACATCACCCCTGAACCAGAGTTCTCTTATGTCAGCTTTGAAACCAACCTCTCCCAGACGTCCTATGATGAGATCATCCGCAAGGTCGTGGATGTCTTCAATCCAGGGAAATTCGTGACCACGCTTTTCGTCAATCAGGTACGTTACGCAACGCATCAGAAACGTTAGATATTAGACCGCTAGTATTATGGCCGTATTCACAAGATCTCGGCGGCTTTGTAAGAGGAAACTCTTGCCATTTGAGAGAACTCTTAGTGGTGAGATGACGCGTTTCGTGAATCCGGCCCCAGAGCTGTGTGCGCGTTGTAAATGTTTCTCGTAGTAATATGAGGGACACCAGTTCCTATTTCAGACAAACCAAACACTTATTTCAGGAACTTTATTTTCCTCATCCATCTCTAATAAAATTCTTTGGTAACACTTTATTGTACAGTGTCCTTGTTACACATTACATGTAGTCACTATTGTAATTACTATAAATTGTGCATAATTACAAGCAACTAACCCTAGTAATTACATTTAGTTACTTAATATTACTTATACCATGGTCTGGGTGAATACTGGATTCTGATTGGCTGCAGGGTGTCCATTAAAGAGTGATAGAGGACACCTAGTAAAGGAGTTCTGGTGAAACTGACTGTTTCCCATTCGAAATTAATAAATAAATGCGCTGGCTACATCAGCTGTGAGTAACCATAGCAACAGGCAGTCAAAGTATCCGGTTACAATTTATTGTATCAAAACAAACATCTAGTTAGCCGTTATACTATGCCTACGTGTGTTTTAATTATAGGTAAAAAAATGAAAGTGTGTAACGCCCATGGCTAGACAAGCCTAACTTAACTTTAACTTTCTGGCTCGTAAGTTAGCTAAACTGAAGTGTTCTCCGAGCTGAGCGCACTATAAATATCTCCGGTTGCTAAATAAACCATCAGGCGTAACCAGGGAAACCAAGTTATTGTTTGTAAAAACTTTAGTTTATATTTTAATTAGTTTTACAATCGAATTCTAATGTTTTAAAAATGTGTTATTTGGTATAAGCGGGTTAATGCCCTTCGAGGTGTCCGTTGTCTAGGTATTAATGGACTTCGATTCACGCCTCGCCGTCGTCCATTAATACCTGACACTGGACACCTCGTCGCGCATTAACCCTTACTCCGTACTCAAATATATAATTACACTGTAACTCGGACACCTCAAAATAAACTGTAACCAATTATTTCATTCATAAATATTATATTATTTGTGAATATATGTACGCAGCCGCCTGGCCGATGCATTGAATGTTTCTGGCTTTCTAATCGCAGTGCAATGCCGTCGCAGCGATATCAGTGTGTATCATGTGCTGTAAAATTGATTTGCTAAAAATATCTCGGCCACTGTTTGATTGTATTTTTTTCCGTTACACTGTTACTGCAGTCAAGCCTGGAGTTCACAAGGGCCATTGTTAGTGAACACTCTGAGGTGACGTGCAGCTTCAATATCTTCAGCGTTGGCCTCAGCTGACGCCGTGACTCTGAGTGGTCAAACTCGCTCTCATGTGTGCCGTCTCCTTCCCAACAGAGCTCCAAGTGTCGCAGCGTTTTCTCTCCGGCTCAGAAAATCGAGGGCTTCCGCCGCCTTGACCGCCAGTTGGCCCACTTCAACGACTACAATTTCGTCTTCACCAGTTACGCCAAGAATCGGCAGCAGAACCAGAGCTGAACCTCTGAAATGAAGAAGCGCAAGAAGTCCTGCGGCTGCGAAGAGAGACGGCGCCTGTGTGTGGAGTCTCCTGGCTGTAGATCTTCCCTGAGTTTAACATTTATGCATTCTTGTACCTATGACGTAGATATCGTGCATGAAAGCTCTTCTCGTGTCCCTGTAGATATTCTGGCCCACTCTTGCTGTGATCTTGAAGTGCATGTAGAGTTCTTGAACTTGGTGGTGTGTGTGAGGCATGTCACACCGTCCCAATACATGCAATGCTCCCTTCCCTTCCTGCAAGTGTCCCCTCGCATCCCCCACAGACAGGGTTTCCGCCCTCACTAGGCAGGGACCCTGACGTGCTCCGACCAATCAGAAGAGCCGCTTTCACCAATGCGCACCTGTGTTTTATATCGGCTCGTTTTTGATTTCCCTCGACTTTGGTTTGATACACATGACGTCGTTTAAATATGCGCAACTCACTACTGTATAGCTAGCTAACGTTTCTGTGAAGAAAACGTAAAAAAAAAAAACGTAAATTCTCCTCGTTCATCTTGCAGACGGTTGTGTTTATTCAGTGTACTTAGAGAAGTGAATGTTGGGTAACTCGACAGCCCGCTCTGGCTCTAACGGCGGCTGGTGAAAACACAACGTTAGCGTTAAGCTGAACTTTTGCACAGGTAGCTAATATTTCTATTTCTGTTTTGAAGATACAAAAAAAACAAAAAACTACTCATGTTCATCTGACTTTCTTCAGCTTTCCAGGTTTTGTCGTTCTTCAGAGTACTGGGGAAGTGAATGTCTCAAAAGATGCGTTGCTTAACGGTTGCCTTAATTGCCAACAACATATAATCTGCAATATATAACCATTATGGTGAAACTCAACCGTCGTCTTCCTGTCCTCTAAAGGCCTTTCTCGTGAATGTATTGAGTGTAATAAATAAATAAATAAATAAAGAGCATTAGTTAGTTGAGAGGTGACGGTGTGTACTGGAAAAGGAGGATGTTTGTGAATGATGTGGAAGACCGGATGTGAGCGAGTGGTGTGTGTCGCTGTGATGTGTGTGTGTGTGTGTGTGTGTGTGTGTCGCTGTGAAGGAGAGAGTGATGTGTGTGTCGCTGTGATGTGTGTGTGTGTGTGTGTGTCGCTATGAAGGAGAGAGTGGTGTGTGTGTCGCTGTGATGTGTGTGTGTGTGTGTCGCTATGAAGGAGAGAGTGGTGTGTGTGTCGCTGTGATGTGTGTGTGTGTTTGTGTGTCGCTATGAAGGAGAGAGTGGTGTGTGTGTCGCTGTGATGTGTGTGTGTGTGTCGCTATGAAGGAGAGAGTGGTGTGTGTGTGTGTGTGTGTGTCGCTATGAAGGAGAGAGTGGTGTGTGTGTGTGTCGCTATGAAGGAGAGTGGTGTGTGTGTCGCTGTGATGTGTGTGTGTGTGTGTGTGTGTGTCGCTATGAAGGAGAGAGTGGTGTGTGTGTGTGTGTGTCGCTATGAAGGAGAGAGTGGTGTGTGTCCTGCTGTTGAATTGAAACCGTTGGACAGACACTTTGCTTTCGTGTGCCGATCGCACAGCAAAGCATTTTCCTTTTTCCAAACACACAGTTCTCTGGTTAGCACACAATAGACGGCACTGGTCTGAGCACGCCAGGGTCGGCCCGGATCCTTCCACACACACCCCTCGGCTGCACAAACCGCAGCTTTATTGCAGTTTCTTCCTTTTTTGCAGTAGGTTTGTCCACCTGTCCAGATCATGCCCTCTGTGCATCGAGGGATATATTCAGTTTCCATGCGACGAGCGGCTAGCGGGATGTTTACTGCGCAGTGTGTCTGCTTCAGCCCTTTGTAACGTTATGGAGTTTAATTTCTGTTCGTACGATGTAACCAGCTTGGTTTACTGGTCCCGAGTGTGATGCGCAGTGGTACGGTATATATCCTGAAGTGTGTTTCTGTTGCGTCTCCTTCATGAGCTAGAGAAATGCCGGTGTCGTAATGAATGTCTCTGGGTGTTTACAGTAGTAGTTCAGACGAAATACTCAAGTTAACTTCACGGACACGACGGGTGTCGCTAACATGGGCATGATCACATATCACACCGAGCACTTTTTGTGTGAAGGGTTGGTAGTTTCAAACATTTTTCTGGCCTTTATACATGGGATTTCTACATACACACATTATACATTGATGTTGCGGACCAAGTATATATTTATATTTATATACTTTACCTTTTCTTTTTCTCTGGCCCTATTCTGAGGTGGGGAGTGAACTTTTCAAATGTTTTGGACCTTTTTCATCTTTCTCCCAGTTCTTCCGAGCGTGTGAGGGAACTCTAGAAAGGTTCAGTTGCGGGAATGTCTCGGGAAGTTGGGAAGGGGAAACTTTGCTGTTCCAATTCTCTTGCTATTTCCTTGGTTGGTCAAGATGTGCTAAATATATCTGTACTAAGAGCTTGATGCTTTCAATAAAGTTAATAACTATTAACTGTGTACTTGTGAATTATTTATTTTTTTAATTGAATTTTAGCAAAATAATCTTTTTATTAAAGTGTTTCATCACTTAGTGCACTGCTGTGTCTTATGATATTGTATACTCAATATACAACAAATTACATTATTGACGTTTTATGGTACATAATTCGGTAACACTTTACAAAAACGTTAATTTATTAAACATTAGTTAATGAACTAACCATGAGCAATACATTTGTTACTGTTTTTGTTAATCTTTGTTAATGTTAATACAAATCCAGCAGGTCATGTTAGTTCACAGTGCATTAACTAATGTTAACAAGATTTTATTAAAGTATTAGTAAATGTTGAAATTAACATTAACAAATGCTGAAGAAGTATTGTTCATTCTTAATGTTAATTAATGAACCTTATTGTAAAGTGTTACCCATAATTCAAATGTATAGGTATTAAAAAATGCACCTTCAAAAAAATTGCTATACATCTCTTAGGTTACTTTTGTACTTTTCAAAGAATTTATCATTTTGAAATCATAAAAATGGTTTCTTAATTTTATTTTGCCCATATATTGGCGTATATCAACAAGTACGAGTGTGATGTCAAATAATGGGTTCAAACTAGCTAAAAACAAAATTAAATACAAATTAAGAATAATCCACAGACAGAAATAGATTCTATGTGAACTATGAATTAATAAAACTATATATAAAATGAATTATGAATTTAGTTTTTGCTCATAGAAGCCAGTTTATAATCAAAATATGATTCGAATTAGAATAGAGTATTGTTATAGTATTATGGCACAATTGAAAATGTTCAATAGGGTATTGATTCCCTACACTTCTGCTGTCTAGTGCCACTCTGTGACTGAGGAATGATTGCACGTTTGAGGGACTATTTACGGTAAACGCGTGCACCTCTTCAGCTGGAGTCATGTGCCGTGGTTCCCCTCGCCGGCCAGAAGCCTTCGCCACAGTGGGATCTGCATCTGCTCATCACTGAAGGTCAGTTACACTGCTGAAATATTTCTGTTGAAACATCCTAACCACCAAGGCAGAAATCAGTCGGTTTGTAATGACTTAATTGCATGACAGCCCAAGCTAACCACAAACTACTCCGACACCAACGTGCGCCTCTATTTAAAGGTGCAGTAAGCGATTTCTGAAAATCTGTTTAAAGTGGATCGTTTCTCCTCCATAAATAGTAGTATTGATTTTGAGTGTGTGCAGCTGGCGACTAACAACCAACTCTTTGCTTGTATACTCGTGTGTACTGTGTTCATTTTTTGTTCTTCCTTGTCATTCGTTCGCTATCTTGGCTTTATTTAGCTTTGCTTGCGCTATGATAGACTTCCACTCTTGCATTTTGGGGGCGGAGCCATCAAGGGTGTGTGTGTGTTTGGGTTGATTTCAGATATCAACAATGATTCCAACAAGGAAATGAGGCTTAATAACCCTTTATTAAGCCTAATTAACCCATTATTAAGCTTAATTTCCTTGTAGGAATCATTGTTGATATTGATATGAACACTCAGGTAAGCTTTCCGTTCTCAACAAAAACTTCTGATAATTTCTGGTTTTGGAGCCTTACTCTGGCTTTGACTGCTAGATACTGTACAGTGAAGTGCCAAAGTTCAAAAGGAAAAATATAAAAATACACTTTGGAAATTTCTTATCAAACATATAAATGTCATAAAATGTTTGATGAGAAATTTCCAAAGTGTATTTTTATATTTTTCCTTTTGACTGCTAAATACAGTCAAGTGCCAGAGTAAGGCTCCAAACCCAGAAATGATCAGAAGTTTGTGTTGCGAACGGAGAGCTTACCCGAGTGTCCATGCTAACACTCATAAACTGCAGCCGGCCGTATAAATCCACACACTTGCATAAACAAACAAACAGACTTTTAGAACTGACTTTACTAGCATTCCATGAATTTGCAATCTTCAAAAAAGTACAAACATGTTGAGTGTTATTTCTTGACGTGTGAGAAATGGATGATAAAGCGTGTGTAGTTTCCTCTTCCTCCGCGGGGATCAGGAAGTAGCCAGTGCTGGCGGGGATCAGGAAGTAGCCAGTGCTGACGGGGATCAGGAAGTAGCCAGTGCTGGCGGGGATCAGGAAGTAGCCAGTGCTGGCGGGGATCAGGAAGTAGCCAGTGCTGGCGGGGATCAGGAAGTAGCCAGTGCTGGCGGGGATCAGGAAGTAGCCAGTGCTGGCGGGGATCAGGAAGTAGCCAGTGCTGGCGGTCAGCTGTAATACTTGGATCTCTTGGGGCTGCGACTGCGGTCTCGCCTGTGGCGTTTGTGCTCGCCGTCTCGCTCTCTGCCTCGCTCTCTCTGTTTTTCCTTCTCTCTTTCCTTGTCCTTTGGTCTCTCTCTGTCTCTTGAACGCGACCGCTGTCTGCCTTTATCTTTTTCTCTACGACTCTCATCGCGATCCTAGAAAACAGGAGAAGAAAAACAAATGATGAGGCACGGATACTGAGAAAAAAGGGACAAAGACAGATTTCATTCGGCACTGATTCGACAATTCATTCGTTAATTCCCCCCGAGATTAACGCGCTGTGTCCAAATACGGCTAATTCCATATTATATAGTAGGGGGAAAAAAAAGTATGTTAGCCGAGTAGCATGTCTGAATTCAGAGCGTTCCTAAAACAGCCGGGGAAAAATTAAATGTCCGACAAAATTAAATCTCTCCGGTCAAATAGTCCGATTAAAATTGCGTAATATTCCTGCCCCCCTAACACAAAATGAATTTGAGAATAAGCCTAAAATGTATAAAGCAAAAATACACCGGCCTTTGGCTAAGTTATAAAGGAACAGGTCTACCGTTTGAAAGTTATTAAACAACATCGCATGCTGCATTTCAAATAAAGCGCACGCCTAAAACGGCTGTAATATAGACCTAAACAACGAACGATTGAGTGAGACGTTTCAGATATGGCCAGGCCCAGGCAGGCAAGCCTTAAAAGCTGTTTCAGAGGCCAGACGCGACGCACGATGGTGAATCAGGAACCTCTCATTATATAGATCAGTGGTTCGAATCCGCGCACTCGTAGGCTACAGTTTTATTTTCTCTCATCAAAACTGAATAGCCTGGTGGCTTCCGGTGATGGCGTAACGAGACAGACGTGTTTGGTGATCGCTCTCCGAGATTGATGGAAAATACCCACCAAAACTCGATGATATATTATCCATTAATAGAGTAAGTTAAGCATTTGAGTGGGGTTCAACACATTAAAGGCCAAAAAGACGCAAAATGCCTAAAGGAGACAAATCAATAACCGCGACAAAAGCTAGCAACGCAACCGAGCAAGCAAGCACGAGCCCGGGCGGAACTAACAAAACCTCGAGCGCGATATTGGAAGCAATAGAAACGCTTAAATCCGAACTGAAGGAGGACAATGACAAACTAAGGAAGGACATCAATGCCCTGCGCCAGGAGATGGGTAATAAACTCGACAACCTGACGGAGGAAGTGAGAGGCCTGATGGAAAGAATGGATGAAGCGGAGAATCGCGTGGGTCGTGTTGAGGACATGACACTTGATTTGACTGAAGCGCTGACTGAAACCATTAAGCGACAGAGGAGTATCCAAAACAAACTGACCGATCTCGAATCTAGATCGCGAAGGAACAACATTCGCCTTTTCGGGGTAGAAGAGGGAGAGGAAGGGAAGTCGGTGACGCAATTCGTGACAGATTTCCTCAAGCGTGAGTTACCTTTGCCAGCGGACTTGGATCTTAAAATTCAGCGAGCCCACAGAGTCTTCGCAGCTAAGCCCCGACCAAATAATAACCCGAGACAAATTATAGTAAATTTTCAAGAATATACTACTAAAGAGCTAATCCTCAAGGAAGCGTGGAAAAAAGGACGCATTCAGTCAAATGAGAGAAACATTTATTTCGACCACGACTATGCAACTGAGATCGTCCAAAAACGCATGGCATATCAAGAGATTAAGAAAGTGCTGAAGGAGAAAGGTGTTCGTTTCCAAACACCCTACACGAGCATACGAATCCATTGGGAGAGTGGCGTCGGAACATACAGCAGCGCACACGAAGCTGGGATGGAGTTGAGGAAGCGGGGCTTGGAAGTGGAGGTGCCGACAGCGGTTACGGAAGAAGTCGCTATGGAGACTCGACTGAAGTCCTTGGGATGGCAGCGGGAGGCGCGTCCCCGGCGAGAGCACAGAGTCCCTACGGCGCAGAGGGCAAAAGAGAAATTGATGGAGTTTCAGAGAAGCGGGAAAAAATGAAGGATGAGGAGCGTTTGCATTATTGACACAGGAAGGCCTTTGTAATTCACAGGACTGAAGGAGAGGCACCAGAGAAGGAGTTAGGACGTTGGACACTAAGGATGGAAGTAGTTTCCAAACCTTACATAGGGCCCTCCCCTTACGGGAGACACTACCCTAGGCCTACCGACGGGGCCCAGTTGGGAGAGATATTCTTCCATTTGAGGAGGAGTCACAGGTATCCCCGGTTTCATTGTTTCTATTTATTTTATTTTTTTATTTTTTTTGTTCTCGGTAATAGTTCCTGTTCACTTGTGGGGTCTACAGCAATAATTTACTCAGGGTATGAGTGGGTCATGTAAAGTGAAAATTGAGACAATAAATGTAAATGGTCTGGGTAATCCGATAAAGAGGAGTAGGTTGATAACGAAATTGAAAAGGGATAATATGCAAGTTATATTCATACAAGAAACTCATATGTCAAATGAAGAACATGAGAAATTTAAAAAGCTTGGTTACATAAATTCATTTTATAGTTCGTACAAGAATAGCAGAAGGAGAGGAGTTATTACCCTAATTTCAAACACTGTTAATTTTGAATTGACTGAGGAATGTTCCGATAAACATGGCAGATATGTGATTGTTAAAGGGAGGATTGATAATACTGTAGTCACACTAGTCAATGTGTATGCTCCCCCTGAGGAAGACAAAACATTCTTTAATTTATTGTTTGACAAAATAACAATGAGTGAGGGGATTTTGATATGTGGAGGCGATTGGAACACAATTTTGAATTACACTAAAGACACAACAAGTACTAAAAGATATAAAAACATCAAATCCAAGATTCTTAATATTCTAATGAAAGATGCAGGTCTGTGTGATGTTTGGAGAGTTCTGCATCCATTAGAGAGAGACTATACGCATTATTCTGCTGCTCATAAGGTACATTCTAGGATTGACTACTTTCTGATGAATACAATAGATAGACATCGGGTTATAGACTGTAAAATCGGAATAGCAGATGTGTCAGATCACAATGCTATATACTTAACTATACATCTTGATTGTCCAAACAAAACAACATTATGGAAAATGAATGTTAATATTCTTAATAATGAAATTGCGGTGCAAGAAATCAAAAAAGAGATTCAAGACTGTATAGCCAATAATAAGGATGAACAAATAGAGCCAACAATATTATGGGACACTATAAAAGCAGTGATGAGAGGAAACCTGATATCAAGGCTAGCTCACATTAAAAAAAAGAAAAAGCTATTACAAGCTGAATTAGAACAAAATATGAGAAATCTAGAAAAACAACAGCATACAGATAAGAGTGATAAATTGGCTGGTATGTTAAAAGGAATTAGAAAACAATTATCAGACATGGCAAACGAGGAGACAGAAAAGAAACTGAGATTCACAAAACAAATCTTTTATGAATCAGGTCCCAAAGCAACTAAAATATTAGCAAAAAGATTAAGATCACAGCAAATAAGGAACTCAATTAACAAAATCAGAGATCCAGAAAGTAATGTCATAACATATGAACCTGAGGAAATCAAAAATATTTTTCATAAATATTACAAATCTCTGTATAATCATTCAGAACAAGTAGATAAAAAAGAAATTGAAGATTATTTAGCTGAATTAGATCTCCCCTCCATAGGAACTACTCAAAATGGATCATTAAATTCACCCATTACTAAAAAAGAACTTGATAATGCTATTTGTAGATTGAAATGCAAAAAAAGTCCAGGTACAGATGGCTATCCTAACGAATGGTACAAAGTTTATAAAGAAGACCTTGCCCCTCTATTGTTGGAATCTTTTAATTGGACACTCAAACATGCAAAATGCCCTCCCTCATGGAAAGAGGCCATGATAACAGTTATACCAAAGGAAGGTAAAAATAAAGAGTTATGTGAGTCCTATCGTCCAATTTCCATTTTGAATGTTGATTATAAATTATTCACGTCTATAATCGCTAGAAGATTAGAAACCTTCCTCCCTGACCTGATAGATGAGGACCAGACAGGTTTTATAAAAGGTCGCCAAACACAAGATAACATTCGGCGCACATTACATATAATTAATGAAGTCAATAAACAGAGCACTCCTACAGCCTTAGTAAGTCTTGATGCGGAAAAGGCTTTTGATAGAGTCAGCTGGAATTTCCTTTTTGCGGTTTTGAAAAGAATGGGTTTTGATAAAACTATCATTAAATGTATACAGGCCCTATACGATAAACCAGTGGCTAGAATTAAAATAAATGGTAACTTAACAGACAGATTCGAGCTCTTCAGAGGAACAAGACAGGGATGTTGTCTGAGCCCCTCCCTATTTGCCTTGTTTATAGAGCCTTTGGCTCAGTATATAAGACAAAGTAAAGAACTTAAAGGAATCACAGTCGCTAAGGATGAACATAAATTAGGTCTTTTTGCAGATGATATTATCATATACCTCAGCAATCCAGATTATACGATTGCTAAACTTTTTACGCTACTAAAAGATTTTGGAGGGAAATCTGGGTATAAGTTAAACATTTCAAAAACCCAAGTTCTCTGTATAAAATACAGACCAGCTGATTCAATCAGACGAGCTTACAAATTAAAATGGGATTCAGGAAAAATAAAATATTTAGGTGTTTATCTGACTAGAGAACTAAATACATTATATGAGGCTAATTATAATAAGATTAATGAAGATATACAAAAAGATTTGACAAAATGGGCAACACTAGTAATGGATTTAAGTTCAAGGATAGAGGTGATAAAAATGAATGTGTTGCCTAGATTGCTGTACTTATTTATTTCGCTGCCAATTTGTATACCAAAAACTCAATTTGATAAATGGGACAAACAAGTGAGTAGATTTATTTGGAAGGGGGAAAGACCAAGAGTTAAGCTTAAAACTCTACAACTAGAGAAAAAAAGAGGAGGACTTGCTCTTCCTAATTTTAAAGAATATTTCCTAGCTGCCCAGTTAAGATATATAATCTATTGGTGCTCGTCAGAATATTATTCCAAATGGAAACACATTGAGCTTAACTACGGAACATGCCAACCACAAACGAGGTTGGGTGAGAAAACATCTAACCAACCTATAGAACCAAATCCTATAGTAGACACAACAATTAAGATCTGGTGGGACATAATGAATAAGTACAAATTGGAGGGGGATTGTAAATTGTTGATCTGGCCATTGTACTCTACAAAATTCAGAAGTGGACAGATGGATAGCACATTTAAAAGATGGACAGACAAGGGAATCACCGCAGTGTGTACATTAACAGAGGGTAAAAAGTTTAAATCTTTTGAAAACTTGAAGAGGGAATTTGACCTGGAAAACTCTGATTTATTTAGGTATTTCCAACTAAGACATTTTTATAATACAGACAGAGAAAATCACCTCTCTCAAGAGGGCAGTGATTTAATAGATATGATCGCGGGGGCATACAGACATTTACCCTCGAAAACAGTATCCAGGGTGTACAAATGTTTACAAAATTGCAATAGGTTTGATTCCCTGTATATAAAACAGAAATGGGAAGTAGAACTGCAGCTTAAATTGTCAGAGGATGATTGGCATTCGATCTGTCTTTTTCAACAAACTTCTACTAGCTCCAGACAATGGAGAGAATTTGGCTGGAAGAACTTGGTGAGATACTTCATTACCCCCCTCATCAAAAGCAAACAGTTAAAAAAGAACCAACAGTGTTGGAGACTTTGCGGGGATGTCAATGTCAATCACTCTCATATATTTTGGTCATGTATAAAAATTCGCCCCTACTGGGAATCTATTGTAACAGAAATGGAAAAAAATTTGGGTTACAAAATACAGAATGACCCACAGTCTCTGTATTTAGGCCTGTTAACTAAAGATGCTGTTAAAGGGGAAGACATTTATCTACTCAAAGTGATGCTGATATCAAGTAAGAAAGTTATAACGAGGAATTGGTTGAAAAGTGAACCTTTGAGTCTGGACCAATGGAGGAATATAATGGAGGAAATATGTGCAATGGAAAAAATGACCCACGACCTGAGATTGGAAGCACATAAATGTAAAATACGATGGTGGAAATGGACTTGTTATGTAATGCACTCAAAGGTATGAAACGAATGGAAGACCTGTATTTGTAGTACCCTACTAGTTTTTTTTTTTTTTTTTGCTGCTGTTGTTTTTTTTTTTGTTTTTTTTTTCTGATCATTGTGAATTTAAGAAATGCAAATAATAATAATAATAATAAAAAAAGTAAAAAAAAAAAAAAAAAAAACTGAATAGCCTATGTTCATCAGTGGTTACAGCCTATATTAAGCAGGGACACTTTGTGTGTTTTATTTTGTGATTTCACCGGAATGAATAGAGAGTCTCTGCAACGGCGATAGATTGAAACGCGCGTCCGAGTGAAGATTGTGCAGCCGAGCGCTCGTGTCCGCTGCTAGCGCTAAATTGATCTCTTATTTAATAGCGAGCTAAATGGATGATATGCTAGTTCACTGGAGATGTTTTATTTATTTGTATTAGGTACATCCGTGCCTCAATGTTTCAAAAAGTGAATGTGTGTGAAACCATAGTAAAAAACAATTGGTATTGATTGACGCCAATCGGACGTTCATGTTTTTTTCCCGTCTATTTGAAAGTTAGGCTAATAATAACATGTTGCATTCTATACGGCCTGATTATGTCATTTTTTAAGTTACATAGCCTGCCTCCAGTTTTCCTCAACTTGACTAATTAAGAGGGATATTTGACCAGCATATCATCAACATGTCCGTAAACAACATGACATCATGACTTTGCGTAAACATACACGCCACTTTCAAGTCAAGTGGCGTGTTATCTATACGCATTTTGAGCTATCCGCGTGTATGTCCACGCCGAAACGAACCGTCATCTTTTGCGTGTATGTCTACGCCGTTAAACGTCCGAGTGATTCCGCGTGTATGTGTACGCCGTTAAATGTCCGAGCGAAACGAAGCAAAATTCATATCTACATCTGGGGAGCGATTTTTTTTTTCCTAGGATGGTAGGGGAAGACTCATAAATAGTATTAACCCCAGTGACGGGTAGGTTTAGGGACGGGGTTGGGGTAGGTCATATATATACAGTAATGTAACGTTAAGTCAACGGCGTTGATAAACACGCTGAAAAGCGATTATGCGTGTTGATAGCACGCCAAAAATGGAAATACGAATTGGCGTGTCATACATACGCCATTTCATGAGATCAGTCTGTCGTAAAACGAAACCTCTGCCGGTCACTTTGACCGGCACCATTGTTTTCTAGTGGAAACTCTGGGTGAAAGTCCCCGGATGACCTGCTTTCCCGGCGAGTTCCTGAAGTGCGCATCCGATGGACAGGATTGTGAATGGAGAAGCGACACAACTAAAGTTGGTCGGTCACATGATAATGACAACATGGCAGATGTAGCATCTCGGATTTCCACTCATACTACACACATTCATAATATACAGAACATACTTTTTCACAAAGTACGTTTCACACTACATGTGCAGTTCCTACAATACAGTATGCCATGTCAGACGCCACTCAAGTCCATAAAACATATAAAGATGAACACTAACATTCCTTAATTTATTAAAGCAACAAATACACCAGTGGTTCACATGTTTGTTCTGATGGAGTGCAGCAGGGTAACTCTCATAATAATAATCACACATAACTAACTTCATAATCATGTATAATTGGAAAAGCTAATTCAAATGATCAAGTTTGCTTTAGGAGAAAACACTGTAGCTTGTGTTGTTGGGACCGTGCTTAAACAACATTACAGTGTTTCTGCATATTGCCAAATTGCATGACATGCCCTCATTCCCTAAAGAGCCACTACAATAAATACAGGTAAAACATGGTTTGTGCTGACCACGAGTTCACTGCAACAAATTACCGGCTGCCAACAGCAACAGGCCAAACAAGAGCAATGATATATTACTTATATACAGTATACACTCACCTAAAGGATTATTAGGAACACCATACTAATACTGTGTTTGACCCCCTTTCGCCTTCAGAATTGCCTTAATTCTACGTGGCATTGATTCAACAAGGTGCTGAAAGCATTCTTTAGAAATGTTGGCCTATATTGATAGAATAGCATCTTGCAGTTGATGGAGATTTGTGGGATGCACATCCAGGGCACGAAGCTCCCGTTCCACCACATCCCAAAGATGCTCTATTGGGTTGAGATCTGGTGACTGTGGGGGCCATTTTAGTACAGTGAACTCATTGTCATGTTCAAGAAACCAATTTGAAATGATTGGAGCTTTGTGACATGGTGCATTATCCTGCTGGAAGTAGCCATCAGAGGATGGGTACATGGTGGCCATAAAGGGATGGACATGGTCAGAAACAATGCTCAGGTAGGCCGTGGCATTTAAACGATGCCCAATTGGCACTAAGGGGCCTAAAGTGTGCCAGGAAAACATCCCCCACACCATTACACCACCACCACCAGCCTGCACAGTGGTAACAAGGCATGATGGATCCATGTTCTCATTCTGTTTACGCCAAATTCTGACTCTACCATCTGAATGTCTCAACAGAAATCGAGACTCATCAGACCAGGCAACATTTTTCCAGTCTTCAACTGTCCAATTTTGGTGAGCTCTTGCAAATTGTAGCCTCTTTTACCTATTTGTAGTGGAGATGAGTGGTACCCGGTGGAGTCTTCTGCTGTTGTAGCCCATCCGCCTCAAGGTTGTGCGTGTTGTGGCTTCACAAATGCTTTGCTGCATACCTCGGTTGTAACGAGTGGTTATTTCAGTCAAAGTTGCTCTTCTATCAGCTTGAATCAGTCGGCCCATTCTCCTCTGACCTCTAGCATCAACAAGGCATTTTCGCCCACAGGACTGCCGCATACTGGATGTTTTTCCCTTTTCACACCATTCTTTGTAAACCCTAGAAATGGTTGTGCGTGAAAATCCCAGTAACTGAGCAGATTGTGAAATACTCAGACCGGCCCGTCTGGCACCAACAACCATGCCACGCTCAAAATTGCTTAAATCACCTTTCTTTCCCATTCTGACATTCAGTTTGGAGTTTAGGAGATTGTCTTGACCAGGACCACACCCCTAAATGCATTGAAGCAACTGCCATGTGATTGGTTGATTAGATAATTGCATTAATGAGAAATTGAACAGGTGTTCCTAATAATCCTTTAGGTGAGTGTAAATATGATAAGGATTATGGGCCAGGCAAAGGAATCCAGACACCAATAAAGCACTGCAAATGAACAGTGCAGGAACGAAAACATAATACATTTAAACAGTGTGAAAATATTCTTTTACATCTTGCAACTGTGCCTTTATTTTTGCAAAGTGATATCAACTAAGATACTGCAGACCTGCATCAATTAGAGTTGTATCAGCTGCTTCACACATGCAATCTGATTAGCGTTTATATAGTACACATTTAAAAATGTTGGTTTTATATTATTATCATCATAATGCCGTGTAATCTTATGTTGTGTGCTGCAGATACGAGCCTGTCTCAAGGTTGTGAACTGCACTGTTGTGAAGCAGGCGTGTGTTGATTGTGTGCAGGCCAGAGGAAGACAGACTGATCATTGAGGAAGACACAACAAAGACGATCCAATGAAATCTGCTGATTTTTACCATCACTTTATCTCCTGCCTCCTCTTGTCCTGCCTCTGTCTGCTCTTGGGCTGATAGAAGTACTGACTTTGTTGTATAAAAAAGTAAAGATTATAGAGGCAGAGTCTGAAGAAAAAACCACTGAGAACCACTCGACTATTCAAATCCACAGCATCGTACCTTTGACTTTTTATCCTTGGACCTTTCGTTGTCTGAGTGTCGTTTCCGGTCTCGTTTCTCTCTGTCGTCCTCTTCCTCATCTAAGAGAAGCTCATAACGGGAGCTTTAGGAAACAATTAAGAAGGACTAACTTGTGGGAAGATTCGCTATCTATTTTAAAACCAAGTGCATGTTATTCCAGTGAAAAGGTCTTTGTAAAGCATTTACACAGCATGTTGCATTTTTCATTAAAATAGCACAGTTTTAAGCTACTGCTATAAGAAAAGCAGGTTAAGAGGTTAAAACCAAAAGATTAAAGCCGTCCTTTATAGTCATCAATGTGTAACGGTTAAATCAATAACATGAGTTCTGATGACTAAACCCATGATTCAAGCCGAACCATCTCTGCACTGTCTCTACTGTAAACCTCTTTGGAGAGTGAAATACAATTGTCCAAGCTTGATTTAAATGTACAGGGATTATCAGAAGGATACTCCTGCTTGCTTTTGACTTTGTCTTTCAAAGCCAGTTTGGATTTGTTGTCCAGGTCTTTCTCATAGGCCTTAAAGTCATCTTTGGTGTACTTCCCACCTAGAAATGAAACATACTGACAATAAATATATGATATACTGTATATATTACTTAAATGCAAAACACATTAACACAACTAAATTGATTAACATGAGCATTTAACATTGCAGATAAACAACAATGACTGAGCAGCACTACAAAAAAAGAAAAAAGAAAAGTGCATTAAAAAAACGTACACACTCAATTGAGGCGGATACATGTTTTATCCGGTAAGACGACATGCGCATGAACTATGATGGAAACACATTTACAGAATGGAAACATAGCTAATAATTATATTTCTATTACTTTACAGGGTGTGCGTTTAATAAGCGGGGACAGGCTTACCTTTGCCTTTCCATTTGATCTTAGACACAGACTGGCTGAAGTCCACATGAATGCGACGGTCATCTATCAGGACGTTGTCCATTTTGAAGTACGCTTTTTCACAGTCCTCCTCCTTATCAAATAATACACAAATGCATTGATTATTCCAAAATGACTCGCAATGTATATGCCCTGAATGAACATTTTGATGACCTCCCTGAGAAACCCATTTAATTCATTTTAAAAGGCCATTCGACACACAATAAACCCTTTTTTAGAGTGATTCAAGACTCAACTTCTTAAAAGGTCTCTGTTCTGTATATCTGCCGTATCTTTGCTCTTTAAGTTAGTTTAAAAGTACAGAAGCTGTAGAGGACAATTAGCAACCTTGAATCAAAACAAACGCACAAATTCTGAGATGTTTATATCGTATCTACAGCGGATGTGAGTGGTGTGACAACACAACACAATCAAAAGATGTAGACAACACAACACAATCAAAGAGAACCCATTATAATCTGAGGACGGGGAGCGATGAGAGAGACAGCAAAGCCATCTGGATCTTGACATGTTCAGTGTAGACATCGCGCACAGATGATTTAATCTAACTTGATTTCATTAGAAACTTTACAAACCTTGTCAAACTCGATGAATGCATAGCACAGAGATTCTGCTGTTTTCCAGTCTCTGATGATCTCACAACTGCAAATAAACATTAACATGTTAGATCAAAGCCAGCAGATAACATACAGTACACGCATCTACACACACTATAATTTACCCAACAGAAGAGACCAGAACGCTGATGTGTCCCTATGACTTTCACACACTGATGCCCCTGAACAGCACTGCATTAAGATTCAGGCCCAGGCTATGGTCGGAGCTGAATACTAGCATACTGTTAATTGCACACGGGACATCCGACTATGTGAACCAACACGCAAAGATAAGCACTTCAAACAGCAGTATGCTACACCTGTTATCACAATCACATGTTTAATTAGCTGTATGTTAATGGTTCATAACCATCTTTACCAATACATTTTCATGACTTTTCCATGACTTTAAGGCAAATAATCATGACTTAAAGTAAAATAATAAAAATCCATGTTCAAATTTATCATAGCATATATTAACTAAAATGAATGTCTATTAATGCCGTTTTTAATAATAATAATTTTAGTACAATTTGCAACTGTGCCAGATGTTACAAAAGGACACTTGACAATGCCAGAATACTAAGCATTGTAATTTGTTTAACCAATATTATCAATTAAACATATATTCTATCATACAAGACTCTTCTAAATATTTCTGGGTTTATAATTTCCAGGCCTGGAAATTGCTATTTTAAAAATGTTCATGACTGTACGAACCCAGTATGTAGTCAAGAAGTTGGCCTAGTTTTTTTTTTTTAATCACACCAGATATTATTATCCAGTTCATCTGTCACATTTGAAATGGAAGGTCACAAAGCACATTGCATTGTGGGATACAGTATTCCACACAGTGTGCTTGGTTGCATAACGCACATCAGGCCATTCCATGCATGCAGAAAATACTGTGTGCTTTACATGCTGCCTGCTGCTAAAATAGTCCCAGATGAATGTATTAGAGGCTTAACCCTCAGCCCCCTCTCAATCAAAAGAAAAATGATGTACAATAAAAAATAGAAATACATACACACATGGCATAGTCAAAATAAAACTAAAATACTTTTACTGTGTTTCTTCGCCTCAAATCTGTAATAGCAAAGTTATGGTAACACAAATACTCAATATTAACTAGATGCTAATTATCATGGATATTACTAGGATATTAGTACTTATAAAGCACATATTAAAGGGATAGTTCAACCAAAAATGAAAATTCTGTCATTAATTAGTCACCGTCATGTAGTTCCAAACCCATAAGACTTTCCTTCATCTTCAGAACACAAATGAAGATCTTTTTGATGAAATCTGAGAGCTTTCTGTCCCTCCATTGACAGCTACGCAAATACCTCCATTACCTGAACAACTACCACTTTGATGCTTCAAAAAGTTCATTAAAACTAAATCCATATGAATTAAGCGGTTTAGTCCAAATTTTCTTAAGAGACACAATCTTTCTTACGAGGCGCTTTATATGATGAACAATTTAATCCACATAAAAACATTGATCAGTGAACAAACAAAAGCTCAACCAAATCCTTGAAGTGCAAGAACAAACCTCTTGCTAAAGCTCAAACGTGATGCGTAACACAAGAATGAACCTCATTGGTTCTTGAGAAGCTCAAACGTGACGCGTAACACGAGAATGAACCTCATTGGTTCTTGAGAAGCTCAAACGTGATGCGTAACACGAGAATGAACCTCATTGGTTCCTGAGAAGCTCAAACGTGCTGCGTAACACGAGAATGAACCTCATTGGTTCTTGCAGAAGCTCAAACGTGATGCGTAACACGAGAATGAACCTCATTGGTTCTTGAGAAGCTCAAACGTGATGCGTAACACGAGAATGAACCTCATTGGTTCTTGCTGAAGCTCAAACGTGATGCGTAACACGAGAATGAACCTCATTGGTTCTTGAGAAGCTCAAACGTGATGCGTAACACGAGAATGAACCTCATTGGTTCTTGCAGAAGCTCAAACTTGCTGCGTAACACGAGAATGAACCTCATTGGTTCCTGAGAAGCTCAAACGTGATGCGTAACACGAGAATGAACCTCATTGGTTCTTGAGAAGCTCAAACGTGATGCGTTACACGAGAACGAACCTCATTGGTTCTTGAGAAGCTCAAACGTGATGCGTAACACGAGAATGAACCTCATTGGTTCTTGAGAAGCTCAAACGTGATGCGTAACACGAGAATGAACCTCATTGGTTCTTGCAGAAGCTCAAACGTGCTGCGTAACACGAGAATGAACCTCATTAGTTCTTGAGAAGCTCAAACGTGCTGCGTAACACGAGAATGATCCTCATTGGTTCTTGCTGAAGCTCAAACGTGCTGCGTAACACGAGAATGAACCTCATTGGTTCTTGAGAAGCTCAAACGTGATGCGTAACACGAGAATGAACCTCATTGGTTCTTGCTGAAGCTCAAACGTGCTGCGTAACACGAGAATGAACCTCATTGGTTCTTGCAGAAGCTCAAACGTGATGCGTAACACGAGAATGAACCTCATTGGTTCTTGCTGAAGCTCAAACGTGCTGCGTAACACGAGAATGAACCTCATTGGTTCTTGCAGAAGCTCAAACGTGCTGCGTAACACGAGAATTAACCTCATTGGTTCTTGCAGAAGCTCAAACGTGATGCGTAACACGAGAATGAACCTCATTGGTTCTTGCAGAAGCTCAAACGTGATGCGTAACTCGAGAATGAACCTCATTGGTTCTCGCTGAAGCTCAAACGTGATGCGTAACACGAGAATGAACCTCATTGGTTCTCGCTGAAGCTCAAACGTGCTGCGTAACACGAGAATTAACCTCATTGGTTCTTGCAGAAGCTCAAACGTGATGCGTAACACGAGAATGAACCTCATTGGTTCTTGCAGAAGCTCAAACGTGATGCGTAACTCGAGAATGAACCTCTTTGGTTCTCGCTGAAGCTCAAACGTGATGCGTAACACGAGAATGAACCTCATTGGTTCTTGAGAAGCTCAAACGTGATGCGTAACACGAGAACGAACCTCATTGGTTCTCGCTGAAGCTCAAACGTGATGCGTAACACGAGAATGAACCTCATTGGTTCTTGCAGAAGCTCAAACGTGCTGCGTAACTCGAGAATGAACCTCATTGGTTCTTGAGAAGCTCAAACGTGATGCGTAACACGAGAATGAACCTCATTGGTTCTTGCTGAAGCTCAAACGTGCTGCGTAACACGAGAATGAACCTCATTGGTTCTTGCTGAAGCTCAAACGTGATGCGTAACACGAGAATGAACCTCATTGGTTCTTGCAGAAGCTCAAACGTGATGCGTAACACGAGAATGAACCTCATTGGTTCTTGCTGAAGCTCAAACGTGCTGCGTAACACGAGAATGAACCTCATTGGTTCTTGCTGAAGCTCAAACGTGCTGCGTAACACGAGAATGAACCTCATTGGTTCTTGCTGAAGCTCAAACGTGATGCGTAACACGAGAATGAACCTCATTGGTTCTTGCTGAAGCTCAAACGTGATGCGTAACACGATAATGAACCTCATTGGTTCTTGCAGTAGCTCAAACGTGATGCGTAACACGAGAATGAACCTCATTGGTTCTTGTTGAAGCTCAAACGTGATGCGTAACACGAGAATGAACCTCATTGGTTCTTGCTGAAGCTCAAACGTGCTGCGTAACACGAGAATGAACCTCATTGGTTCTTGCTGAAGCTCAAACGTGATGCGTAACACGAGAATGAACCTCATTGGTTCTTGCTGAAGCTCAAACGTGCTGCGTAACACGAGAATGAACCTCATTGGTTCTTGAGAAGCTCAAACGTGATGCGTAACACGAGAATGAACCTCATTGGTTCTTGAGAAGCTCAAACGTGATGCGTAACACGAGAATGAACCTCATTGGTTCTTGAGAAGCTCAAACGTGCTGCGTAACACGAGAATGAACCTCATTGGTTCTTGAGAAGCTCAAACGTGCAGCGTAACACGAGAATGTTAAGTCAAGTCATCTTCATTTATATAGCGCTTTTAACAATGAATTGTTTCAAAGCAGCTTTACAGAGATAAACATATAATTTAAGGTAACAGATTGTTTTGGCGTTATAGCGGTTCTTGAATAATGTTACTGCCAGCTAAAGTTAACTTTGATTGATTCACCTCCGTCGAAATGATCAGACTTTAAACGCGAACCTGTGATTAACGCTGACGGCGTTCACATGCTCATTCAGAATTCTATAGTTATGTGCTTTTTAAAATATATGCGCAGGTTTGTAATTCATACAACCCAGCCTAAACAAACTACTTTTCTTGCCTATAAATTTTGATACAGAATTTTTTATTTATTTTATCACTTCGGGGTACGCGAGCCGGAATTCACAGCGCTTTATCTGTAGAGTGGGAAAGGGATCCTCCATAGGGAGAGGATAGTGGATACTTCAGCACTGCATTGTCATCGGGTCCAGGCGAATCTCCTTCGTCAGATCTGGACACGGCCTGGATCCGGCAGGCTGCGGGAAAACCTCGGGATAAACAAAGACACTAATATTAGCGTAGATGCCATTCTTCTTATGATGTAGCGAGTACATCAAGATTTAAGGGAAGTGTTCCCAGTTCCGGCTGACCTAATCTATGCAGCCTAACATTGACCTAGCATACACATAATACATTATAGACTTCTATAAATTCAAAGAGATGTGTTTTTAGTCTAGCTTTGAACTGACAGAGTGTGTCTGCTTCCCGGACAATGGTAGGAAGACTGTTCCAAAGTTTTGGTGCTAAATAGGAAAAGGATCTACCGCCAGCAGTCGATTTAGATATTCTAGGTATTATCAACTGGCCGGAATTTTGAGATCGCAATAGACGTGAAGGACTATAATGCGTTAAGAGCTCGCTCAAGTACTGCGGAGCTAAACCATTTAGTGCTTTGTAGGTAATCAACAATATTTTAAAATTTATACGATGTTTAATAGGGAGCCAATGCCGTGTTGACAGAACCGGGCTAATATGGTCATATTTCCTGGTTCTGGTAAGAACTCGAGCTGCGGCGTTTTGAACTAGCTGTAGTTT